AGCGTTGGTGGTTCAGTGGTAGATTTCTCGCCTGCCACACGGAAGACCCTGGTCCGATTCCCGTCCATTTCAATTCCTGTTTTGTGTTGTTACTCTTCCAGCTCTGGGTAACAGCCTTGCAGCAATCACAACCCACTAGGGCTGCAGAACAAGCATATCAGCATTGGTGGTTCAGTGGTAGAATGCTCGTCTGCCACGTGGTAGACCTAGAGTCGATTCCCGGCTAAAACGTGCGGTTTTGAGTGGCTCCTGTTTAAGCTCTGGTTGATGGCCTTTTAGCACTCACACAACATAAAGGCAAGGTACACCATGGGTCAGCATTGGTCGTTCAGTGGTGGAAGTCTTGCCTGCCACGCGGGAGACCCAGGTTCGTTTCCCGCCCAATGCACCTTCTGATTTTGGTTGTTACTCTTCCAGCACTGGGTAACAGCCTTGCAGCAATCACACCCCACTAGGGCTGCAGTAAAACCATATCAGCATTGGTGGTTCAGTGGTAGAATTCTCGCCTGCCACGCGGGAGACCCGGGTCCGATTCCCGGCCAATGCAAGTGCTGTTTTGTGTTGCTACTCTTCCAGCTTTGGGTAACAGCCTTGCATCAATCACACCCCACTAGGGCTGAAGAATAAGCATATCAGCAATGGTGGTTCAGTGGTAGATTTCTCGCCTCCACCGTGAAAGACCCTGGTCATATTCCCGTCCATTCCAATTCCTGTTTTGTGTTGCTACTCTTCCAGCTCTGGGTAACTGCCTTGCAGCAATCACAACCCACTAGGGCTGCTGTATATGCATATCAGCATTGCTGGTTCAGGGGTAGAAATCTCACCTGCCACGCGGGAGACCTTGAGTCGATTCCTGGCTAATAGTAATGCAGTTTTGTGTGGCTCCTTTTTCAGCTCTGGTTGACGGCCTTTTAGCACTCACACAACACAAAGGCAAGGAAGAACTTGGGTCAGCATTGGTGGTTCAGTGGTAGAAACCTTGCCTGCCACGCGCGAGACCCGGGTCCAATTCCCAGCCAATGCTTTTCCTGTTTTGTGTTGCTACTCTTCCAGCTCTGGGTAACAGCCTTGCAGCCATCACAACCCACTAGGGCTGCAGAACAAGCATATCAGCATTGGTGGTTCAGTGGTAGAATGCTCGCCTGCCACGTGGGAGAACTAGAGTCGATTCCCGGCTAAAACGTGCGGTTTTGAGTGGCTCCTGTTTAAGCTCTGGTTGATGGCCTTTTAGCACTCACACAACATAAAGGCAAGGTACAACATGGGTCAGCATTGGTCGTTCAGTGGTAGAAGTCTTGCCTGCCACGCGGGAGACCCAGGTTCGTTTCCCGCCCAATGCACCTTCTGATTTTGGTTGTTACTCTTCCAGCACTGGGTAACAGCCTTGCAGCAATCACACCCCACTAGGGCTGCAGTAAAACCATATCAGCATTGGTGGTTCAGTGGTAGAATTCTCGCCTGCCACGCGGGAGACCCGGGTCCGATTCCCGGCCAATGCATTTTCTGTTTTGTGTTGCTACTCTTCCTGCTCTGGGTAACAGCCTTGCATCAATCACACCCCACTAGGGCTGTAGTATAAGCATATTAGCATTGTTGGTTCAGTGGTAGATTACTTGCCATACAGAAGACCATGGTCGGATTCCTGGCCAATGCAATTCCTGTTTTGTATTACTACTCTTCCAGCTCTGGGTTACAGCCTTGCATCAATCACACCCCACTAGGGCTGCAGGAAAAGCATATCAGAATTGGTGGTTCAGTGGTAGAGTTCTCGCCTACCACGCGGCAGACCTAGAGTCGATGACCGGCTAAAACAAGTGCATTTTTTGTGGCTCCTTTTTCAGCTCTGGGTGGCAGCCTTTTAGCACTCACACAACACAAAGACAACTATCAACATGGGACAGCATTGGTGGTTCAGTGGTAGAATTCTCGCCTGCCACGCAGGAGACCCTTGTCCGATTCCCGGCCAAGGAAATTTCCAAGGAAATTCCTCTTCAGCTCTGGGTAACAGCCTTGCAGCAATCACACCCCAATAGGGATCCAGCATAAGCATATCAGCATTGGTGGTTCAGTGGTAGAGTTCTCACCTACCACGCGGCAGACCTAGAGTCGATGCCCGGCTAAAACAAGTGCATTTTTTGTGGCTCCTTTTTCAGCTCTGGGTGGCAGCCTTTTAGCACTCTCACAACACAAAGACAACTATCAACATGGGACAGCATTGGTGGTTCAGTGGTAGAATTCTCGCTTGCCACGAGGGAGACCCAAGTCTGATTCCCGCCCAATGCAAGTGTGGTTTTGTGTTGCTACTCTTCCAACTCTGGAAAAACAGCCTTGCATCAATCACACCCCACTAGGGCTGCAGAATAACCATATCAGCGTTGGTGGTTCAGTGGTAGTTTTCTCGCCTGCCACGCGGAAGACCCTGGTCCGATTCCCGTCCATTCCAATTTCTGTTTTGTGTTGCTACTCTTCCAGCTCTGGGTAACAGCTTTGCAGCAATCACACCCTACTAGGGCTGCAGTGTAAGCATATCAGCATTGGTGGTACACTTGTGAAATGCTCGCCTGTTACGTGGGAGACCTGGGTTCCATTCCCAGCTAATTCAATTCCTATATTGTTTTGCTAACCTTCCAGCTCTGGTTGATGGCCTTTTAGCACTCAGACAACACAATGGCAAGGAACGAGATTGGTCAGCATCGGTGGTTCAGTGGTAGAATTCTTGCCTGACACACGGAAGACCCTGGTCTGATTCCTGTCCATTGCATTTCCTGTTTTGTGTAGCTACTCTTCCAGCTCTGGGTAACAGCCTTGCAGCAATCACACCCCACAAGAACTGCAATCTTTTGCAGACGTCTGTGGCGTTTTTGGCAGAGGGACGACTCAGGAATGTAAGGTGCCTGCAGCGGGAGGTTGTTCCGTTAGCGCTTCCGCTTTCGTCAGTGAAGTTCTTTTGCGAAACGTTTGTAGATCCCGTCGTGCTCTTCAAGCTATGTCGTTTGAGCACTGTGCTGATAGGCTGACGTAAGAAAACAGGACACGAAATATACAAGGCGAGAGTGCAAAGAGCGAGAGAGCTCTAGGCAAAGGCGGTCCGAACTGCAGCAAAGCAGGAGGTCGACATGTCCAAATAGACGAAATCAGAAACTAAGCAGAGAAAAACGGCATTTGTAGAGAAAGAAAACAGATGGAGGAAAAGAAAGAAAGAACAGGAGGATCCCCTCCCCTCCCCCCATAGAGGGTCTGTTATCCCCAGATCGAGTGCGTCCAGTGGAATCCATGTGTTGGCAGCCCCAACTGATGACAAAACACAAAGCAAGCATCTGGAGGAAGCTCAAACTCTTCATGCGTTGCCACAGTTACTAGCGAGTGGTTTGCAAGCACAGGCACGTCTGCTGCAAGTACAGCGCCGTCAGGAGACAGGGGTTGCTGGCCCATTCCCCATGCTTGTTGGCTGGGCATCACCGCCCTGGAGTACGGCCGATAGAAAACGGCGGCTGCCATTTGCGCTGCCCGGCAACTCATACTTACCTGGCAGGGGAGATACCATGATCAAGAAGGTGGTTCACCCAGGGTGAGGCTTTGGCCATTGCACTCAGGCCACGCCGACATCTGCGAACGGCGATCGACCTGTACGGCGTGCAAATTTCATTTTAGAAGTGTAGGCAATTACAGCACCTGATTGGTTGATTGAGTTTCAGCAAACCATGAATGAACTGCTTTTGCGAGTGAACAACCCCCTGGTGATGTCATCAAAACAAATAGTAGTAACTGTCAGGACACGTTGCATATGATGTGGTGCTTTTGAAATTAAAGCAAACAACCCTAACTGTGCATAAAAGTGAACCATGAAATGATCATTTAATAAGTTTGTTATTAAAATTTAAGTTGCTTTTTAAATTAAATTACTTTTAATTGTTCACTCAAAATCCCCATAAACCTCAACAAATGGAATATATAAATTAATATATGTAATATCAGTTCTATAAATAAAATATTCATATGTAATAGTAGTAATTAAAGGTCAAACTTATTTATAAATGCATAATGTTTAGTAGAATTATTCTTAAATATGTTTGTATAACAAAAAATGGAAATATTTAGCATCTGTTCTATTATATTATACAGATATACCATCATATTTCTAATAGCAGTAATACAATTACATAAAATGAATAATAATCCCTTACTTTGTTACTGGGTAAGTATTTTAATTATAGTAACTAACTACTTTGTAACAAATTACGACAGTTCTATTTTGAGAGTGTAATGTCATAGGATATTTGAATAATGTACTGTTTTTGTATTTGTGTGTTGCAGGTGTAGCTTGATGTTGGAATGTGGTTTAAGGATGAATCCACTGGCATCCCATCTGACGGCAACAGGATAAGCTGTCATCGACTCCAGAGCTGGACTTGGAAAAACACAGAGGAGCAATAGACTTTTCAGAGCGCCTGTACCAGAGGTTACTATTAAAATGGACTGCATATTATTGTCATAGACTTAGATAATGATTCTAAATTAAATTCAAAATCAGAAGATTTAGTCAATTTTTAAAAACCAATGAAGTCCTTCCAACACATACAAAAAGAAACACGAGATTGTATTTTATTATCCAAATTTATTAAAAGTGCAAAAGAAAAGTTCTAAACATATTGTTAGACCTGCCTGACATAAAAATGTATACTATAGATATACTTTGTACATAATAAAAAACACATTACTATTACAATCATTAGTTTTAATATTACTGATAGCAGTTATAGATATAAGAATATATTTGTATACATAAAAAAATACTGCCAGGTCAAGCATTTAGATATAAAAAATAAAAAAATAAATAAATCCTCTTAAAAAAAAAACAAAGCTAACAATTAAAGTATATAAAGCAACATTAGTTATCACAAAGTAATAATTAAAGTACTTTAAATAACATAATGATAATATATACTTAATAAACATAAATAAATAAATAAAAACAAGAAAACAATTAAAGAAATACTGTAAACTCTAAAACAATAAACTGTTAATATAACATACATTTCTGGAACAAAACAGTGTTACAACAATCAACAAATTAGTGTAAAACACTGTAAACTTAAACAGTCAAATGTTAATATAAAATTTGTTTCTACAACAATCAACAAATTAGTGCAAACTGTAAAAAAAAGCTGCACTTTTGTAAATTAACAATAAGTTACAATCTACAAATTAGTATAAAACGATGTATACTCTGAAACAGTCAACTGTTAATATTGCGAACATTTGTGCAACAATAAGTGTAAAAAACAGTCAACAAATTAGTGCAAACCGTAAAAACCTGTAAACTTTTAAAAAATCAACTGTTATTATAACATACATTTTTGCATCAATACCAGTGTTACAACAATCAAAAGATTAGTGTAAAACACTGTAAACTTTCAAACAACCAACTGTTATTATAACATATCCATTTTTGCAACAATAATACTGTTACAAGTCAAGAACTATGAACCGCAACATGGATAGAGGTCCAGTTAGACAGACTCGGAGGCCTGAGACTGAGAGCCCAAGAGAACGTCCACAGCCCTTTTAAAGTCTTCAAAACAGTCAAACGTCTGCCCAGCAAGGTTTGTGGACGTGGAGGCTTTGGAGCTCTCACAGTAGCTCTTCTTTCTGTATTTCTTGTGGCCTTGAGTTGGTTGGCCACACAGAGCACAGATGTAAACCTTCACTGAGGTTGGATGTCCAGAGCCACTGAGTTCTGCCTTTTTCCTCTTGTAGACTGTTGATCTTGAGGGCAACAGTAGCGGAGTGGATGCCTGCGGCAAGGAAACAGCGGGAGGTGCAGTCAGCAGAGTGTGTGTGTGCCGGAGTCCTGCGGGCATCGAATGGGCCGGCGCAGGAACTGGTTGAGCAAGAGCAGAGGGAGGGACAGGTAAGATTTGCGGGAGCCTTTGCTTCAACTTTCGGGTGCCGGCCAGAGAAGTGGTGATGGGATACTGCACTGCAGGCCGGCTGGTATGGGGTCTTTCCTCTGGAAGCTCCTCAGCGGGGGGCTGGCTGGTGCTGGAGACGCTCTGGTGACGACGGAGGACAGACAGACCCTGGTCGGTGACGTTTGTGGCTGACAGTGCCTCCTGCCTCCTGATGAACTCGCTCACGCACTTTGAATTTATTTTCAGGATGGGAATCCCGAGTTTGCGGAGCTGATCATCGTCCACCGTCACTCTCTGCTGCACACGCTGGTACAGTTTAGTGATCTGCTGTTTCAGCGGTGACCCTTTAGCTTTTCCTCCAACACCAGGATGAAGCCACAGCTGTTTGACCAGGCAGTACATCAGCCGGTTCTTTCTGGAGTCCACCAAGTGTGCGGCTGAGTACCGCTTGCTGAACTTGAGCTTCTGCACCAGGGACGCCTCAGTCGGATCTCCACTGGTGCGGCCAAACAGAGCATTGCCCCAGCGTGCAGAGTAGAGGCTGTCGAATTGTTGGATGCTGCGGTCATGGAGGTCAAGCTTGTTCCAGGCGCTGATGACCTTTTGCCTGGTCGACTCATTTAAGGCAAGTTTTCCTTCCTCCAGGGCGATCTCAACAAGGACTTTACACAGATCCTCTACGTGCTGGTACCCAGGCAGATGATTGGGACCGCACACGTCCTCCACACAGGGGTCAAATTCAGCAGCCACTGCCTGATCGGTGAGGCACAGACGGTTCCTCAGAGGAGTCAGGCTGTCCCTCTCGCGGTCTGAGGAGTAGCCCACATCATCATCTTCCTCCTGCAGCTCTTCCTCTTCCTCTGCCACCCCAGCAGGAACATCTTCGTCCTCATCCTCATCTGCCTGAAGTGTCTCTCTAGTCTGAGCGTAATGATCAGGAGCACTGAAGGGCTCTGAGGACTGGGAAAACAGGTACTCCAGACCAATGCGCTCATCACCAGCAGGAACTGGAGGCCTGTAGTTTGCCTCCTCCACCTCCCCAAATAGCTCCTGGCACCTTTGGTTTAGGCGATGGACCAGAGGAGACATGTACACCATATGTTTCCTCCCTTTCCGCCCTTGGACGCTGGCTGACTCCCTGTTAGAGTTCCAGCGTGCGATGCCAGCCAACAGATAGACTTGAAACGGGACGGCAGCACAGTGGGGTCCCGGGATCATGTCAGGCAGAAAGGAATGAAAGCCCTCCAGACTGTTGCTTCCTCTCACCGTACTGTACCGCGCAAGACGAACACCGTTACGGGTCACATACTTGGTGATGGTGTACATGTTCCTCCCTGGTGGATCCTGGATGCATTCAAGGTGCTTCTGCTGGTTCTCCCAGACGTGGTCGATGGCTGCAGAGTCCTTAAACAGATGCACCTGATTCTCATCCATCCCTGCGGCTCCCTTCAGGAGATCAATGGCGCACTGCACGCGCGCACATGTTTCCTGTGCACCAACTGTGATCCTCCTGACGTAATGGCTGAGGTCATATTTACTGACACGCAGCTCGATGATCTGGCTGTCAGTCAGGGAGGCATAGTTGGTTGGGTGACCGGCACGTATCGCCTGTACCAGAAGAGCCATGTCGTCTTTGTTGTAGGCAAAGACGGCAGCAGAGAGGGCAGACTTGAACAGGGCATACTTTGGATGATGATCTGTCCGTAGGGCTGCATCGAATCGATGGATCCAATGAAAGATGTCCAGCCGTACCAGCATGCCCCTGTCCGTCCAGTCACTGAAGAGCTGCTCAACCGAGGACACGGCGTGGACGCGACAGCAGCCACGATCCACATACATGAGCTCGGGCGGTGCCTCATCAGCTCTCCTGTACCTCTCCATGAGGCCTTCAGCCATCGGCCTCATCTTCTCCAATGACTCCTCACAGGTGAGAACAGATATGAGGATCTGCCCCTGCTCGTTGGCCACATTGGTACACCACTCTGCAGTGCCTTTTCCATCGCCGGAGAGTTTCTTGCAGATCTGATAACAAATACAACACAAACAGATTTAAACATTTTTGTATTTTGTTTTTTTTTTTTTTTTCTGCACCAGACCAAGAAAGTAATAGTCACTAATATTCAGTAATGAATTAATAATGTGTTTTTGCATTGCAGCTCATTAGATTTCGGATGCAGAGCATGCAAGAGGAAACCTGAAGTGAAGAAAACGACACACAAAGACGTAGGTTATTGTGATTAATAATCTGGTGCGTGTGATGGTGACAAACAGGATTTTAAAGCACTAGTAACCCATATTAGATATTAATTTATTGATAATTATTTATTATTAAACAATTAATAATACTTTACTTATCAATTGTCATTAATAATTAATGATTAAAATGTCCCATGATACAAAAGTGGACAATAATATTTTAAGGATAAAATCTCTCTGATAAAGGATTTCCTGAAAGAATAACAGTAAAAAGGTTTTGCAATATGTTTACAAACTGACTTTTTTCCATTGTGTTAAATTTACCTTCTTGGTGGAGTCGTACTTCAGGACTTGCCCAAATGTGGACATAATCTGAGTACGGTAGTCCTCGATGTTATCTGCCTCTGAGATAAGGAACGCCTTTCTCATCAGTCTGGCAGATGGCGGCTCTCTCCGTGCTGGTGGTCGCTGGAACTGCTGGCACAAACTCCCTAAAAGCAGAGAAAACAGACACTTTGCTGCTTAATCTTTGAATAAATGCTCAAAAGGATAGGAATTTAAAAATAATAATTATTTCATCATTTGCTGATCCTTTTAATGATTGTAAACCATTATGGGTTTCTTTTAAACACTAAACAAGATATTTAGAAAAATGTCAGAAACCTGTAACCATTGACTTCCATAGTATTTGTTTGTTTTTTTTTACAATGGAAGTCAATGGTTACAGGATTTCGGCTTTCTTCAGAATATCTTCTTTTGTGTTTAACAAAAGAGAGAAACTCATAAAGGTTTAAAACTACTCATTTCTGGGTGAACTATCCCTTAAAGAAAACAATTAACTCTGACTTACGAGTGATCTTCCCAGGTTTGTTGTACTGGCTGAGAAGAGTGGTGTACAAGTCCTTTCTCTGCAGATAGTCCTCGCAGTGGCTCTCCTGCACCTGTCTCCAAACCTTCACCATGGTGTTTCCCTCAGTGCGATCCCTCATCAGGCGGATCACCTGCTTGTCCACGCCACGCCTAGAATAATAGGAGCAACACAATCATTAGATGATGGTGAGTCTTAACTTTTATTAGACTCTGAATAATTTTACAATGATTTGTATTCTGCTAGAGACTCACCGTAGCGTCAAGACAGCAGGAAACACCGCTCTGTGAGCTGGACTGAGCTGATTAAGGATGCACTGATCCCATGACAGGAAACGACCAATAGTATGCTCTTCCGACTCCTTTGCAGCCTTTCTACAGGCGTTGCATGCCAGGACCTCAGTCAGCATGGAGTACCAGCCAGACATGTGGCAGATCTGTCTTACCGTGGATGAATACCCACAACGGTAGAGAAAAGCCTTCTGATTGGTGCGTGCTGGGCAGTCAGACCTTGGGCACCGAAGACTGTAACGCCACACACCGACTGGTCTCCAGAAAAAAACGGAGCTGTGAAAAAAGGAGTCTGCTGAGGGGACTTTTCCTTCCACCACTCCAGGAAATTCTGGAGGGTGAAACCACATCCGGTCATCCTTCAGGACTTTCCTCCACTTTCTGTTTCCATGTTTGTCTTTATAAGCCATGGCCCTCTGAAAGAGTCCCCTTTCAGCATCCTCCTTAAGCCACAGTATGTCTGCACTGGGCAGCCCATGAAGACCAGACTCCCACATCTTGTGCCAACCCTCAAATAACACCTGGTAATTAGAATAACCGAGACAAAACTGTTAAAATCAATTAAAGTTTTAGTATTAAAGTATTAATTTTTCTTATCTTCACAACCACAGAGTTCTTTGACAGTTACCTCAGAATGTGCTGGGTCACTGTGTGTTGACCCACCAGATGACCTTCTAGGTTGAACGTCAGAAGCTGACACAGAAGCTGATGCAGGAGCCGATGAAGAAGCCGAGGCAGGAACTGACGAGGCTGATGCAGGAGCCGAAGAAGAAGCCGAGGCAGGAACTGACGAGGCTGATGCAGGAGCCGATGAAGAAGCCGAGGCAGGAACTGACGAGGCTGATGCAGGAGCCGATGAAGAAGCCGAGGCAGGAACTGACGAGGCTGATGCAGGAGCCGATGAAGAAGCCGAGGCAGGAAATGACGAGGCTGATGCAGGAGCCGATGAAGAAGACTGGCCAGGAACTGATGAGGCTGATGCAGGAGCCGATGACGAAGACTGGCCAGGAACTAATGAGGCTGATGCAGGAGCCTCCAATAAAGAAGTCGACGCAGGAGCCTTCAACAAAGTAAGTATAATAGTTAAAACCTTTTTCATTGACATATTCATACTTTTTGCACGGCCTCCCCATCTATGCTCACAAAACTGTATTCAGGAGTATATACACCACCTAATTGTGATGTACAAACGATAAACTTACAGCAGACAGTGGAGAGTCTGAGTGTGGCTTCTGTGACAGATCTTCACAGGAACGTTTTCTTCTCTTTGCTTCCCCGGCTCCTAAATGAGCACAGTTGTGATTATCAGAAGACAGTGTCTTAGTGTGATGAATTTTATTTATTAATGCATACAGTTGAAGCCGGAATTATAAGCCCCCCTGTTAAATTTGAGTTTATTTTTCACAATTTATGTGTAATGGAGAGAGGACTTGTTCAGGCACATTTCTAAACATAATAGTTCTAATAACTTAATTTCTTATAATTTATCTTTGCCATGATGACAGTATATAATATTGGGTCACACTTTACAATAAGGTTTCATTAGATAATGTATTTACTAACATGAACTAATTATGAACAATGCTTGTACAACATTTTTAATCATAGTTCAACATGTACTAATGCTTTATTAAAATAATATTTAATGCTTAGTTGATGGACTGTGAGTTGGCATGGATGACTGTAACACGAACAAATACTGTATTAAGTGTATTGTTCATTGCTTGTTTGTGGTAGTAAATGCTTTGACATTAACTAATACAAACTTATTGTAAAGTGTCACCCTTTAAGGTAACACTTTAGAGTAATAGTCCATTAGTTAATATTAGTTAATGCATTTACTAACATGAACAAGAAATTTAATACATTACAGTATTCATTCATCTTTGTAAACGATTTAATGTTATTTAAATTAATTAACGTTAGTTCATTAATGCACTGTGCATTAAGTAATGTCAACAAGCACAACTTTGTATTTTAATAATAATTTTAATAATGCATTAATGTTGAACTGTAATTAATAAATGCTGCACAATGTTGGCGACACTTAGTGTTAGTAAATTGATTAACTAAAGGACTATTATACTAAAGTGTTACCATATTCAGCGTGAGAAAGTAAAGGCTTAACTAGCTTAACACTGTTTGTTCTGTAGCCGATAGAAAAACATAAATAATAAAACGAATAAAACTTTCTTCAGAAGATAATAAACTATCCTAAGTACTGTGAACATGTCCTTGCTCCATTACCTTTAATAAATATTTCACAGGAGGGCCCTCAGCTGTAGTTCATGCTACAACAGTATGAATAAATGTTAATAAGTGACATTTATTATGTGATATACCTTGTCTTTCAGGGAAGCTGAGTGGTTTCTTCGGCAGACTGCCTTTGTCCTCAACTGCTAAAGAAGGACAAAAAAAAACACAAGATGGGCAAAAGTCAGTGTCAAAGCAGCAAGAAGACAATCTCATCAGCACAGTGTTTTGATATTGTGTGTCATTGATTTATTTATTAATAAAAGATTTATGCTATGGTACATGAACAATTAAAGACAATAATAAAAGGGATATACACCTTGTGCTTCGAAAGCACTGAGGGCTTCCACCAGTAGCGCATCATCCGCCCATCCACCATCACCTCTAGATCCCGACGAGCTGGAGCTGGCCGCCGCTGCAGGAAGAGGCCTGTCTTCTAGGGGTTTCTGCGAGTTACAGGTTGTAGTTTGCATGAAATGTTGCCAGCATGATATATATATTTTAATAAAGTCACATTTAAAAGAAATAAATAAAACCTACCTCTTTGTTGAGAATGTACTGCCGGAACCGCTTCAGTGTCTTGACGCTGATGTCCTCCTCCTTCATCGTCAGCCACTGCCGCACAGAGCAGAACGCCTCCTGTGCCATCTTCTTTTCTTGGGCACTACCAGCTTGTGGATCCGCCTGCAGGGTCTTGTGCAGGCTGTACCACTGCCACATCTCCAGGAACGTGAAGGATCTGAAGCGGCCCTGACCGTAGATGGCACTGTCGACGTTGACCTCGAGGTGGCAGGAAACCTGTGGAAACAGTTGCACATACTGTAACAGAAGATCCTTTATATACTCACCTGGGCCCTCTTTTCTTCCTTGATGGCGACGCTCCTTGATGTGTAGATCCAGCACACTGAAATTTCAAAAAGATAATTAATTTGTGTAAAAACAGCTTATACAAATGTATAGCAACATACTTACTATTTAATGTAGCCAACGTCGTTCTCCACCAGCCATTTAAAACTTTGTCCATTGTACTTGCCAAAGTTTAGAATGAGCTGGCCGAGATACTGGACCTCAGATGGCGCACAAGTAATGTGCTGGCATCTTTTTTTAGCTAAGACATAAAATAACATTAATGCAAATAACAGTCTGCAGTGTACGCATATGACAGAAACGCACAAATCAGATATTACCTTCCTCACAAGCAGTTTTTTTGTCCTGGCTAGTGTTCCGCTCGAAGCACCTGTTGCGAGAGGCCAGGGTCTTGGCGTCCTTCGATGCTTTAAGAAAGCACTGTTGTCTGTCCTGTGGCACACTGGTGTCAACAATGCTCAGGGTGGGCAACAGTGGATCCATGTCTAATTCACCTGTAAGAAGTATTCTTATAAACATCACAAATATAGAGAGGGAATATGGTCTTAGCTCTGAGCTCATGATAAAGTATTAAAAAAACATTTTGTGTGTTAAGTCTTTTTTTTTTCCATTTTTACATGTTTGATAATTAACAAATAAATGAAATATCATCAACATAAATTATCTGACAAGGGTTAACAATGCTGACAGAGATGATGCATTTGACAGTGGCAATGAAAACATGAATTATCATATCAATTGCTCTGTTATACATTTTTTTCAAATGCTTACAGTTGTATTGTGTTTTTCAAGGAGCAGCTATTATTATCAACCTCCATATGGCTGATATAAGGTAAGGTAAAATACATTCTAAGCATGTTAAATACATACTCTCATTAATATGATATCATTTACACATATAATACTTGAAATAACATAACAAATCATATTTAATGTATGCACATTTTCATTTTAAAGCTTATAGCAGTAATTGCTGAATATGTTTTTGTCCCAGGCCTTGAGAATCAGTGATATATTATTCAGTCTATGGCAATAACGATTTTACTATATTCTTATGATAACAAATACAGGTATTGGTCATATGTTTTGTCCCAGTTAAGATCTTAAGATGTTCTTCACTTCTCATAGTTACAACTAATGATAACAATCGCCATGGTAACATATATTGCTACATATAAAGGGATATTTATTTATCAGCATGTTTGTTTCTATATTATAATGAAACATCTGTGTATTCTGAGCTATCAAACCGACGCGATCGTCGAAAATAATACAAAAGCTAAACTTTTTCAGGTTTTGTGCAGCCAAATATGCATTTAAATAATATCACAGTATAAAAACAACTTACCACACGAAATATCTTGGAAAGGTGAACTTTCTGACGGCACAGCGTCACCAGCACAGACCAAACACTGCACAAAGAGTGAGAGATTTCAAACGTGATGTGATCTTAGCAATATAAAAATAGCTTCCCTGCTGAAAAAACCAGCATAGACCAGCATTGCTGGTCACCAGCAAGACCAGCATATGTTGTGTTTTGGTGCTGGTATGCTGGTGACCAGCATGGGATGCTGGTGCTGTGATGCTGGTGTAATGCTGTGATGACCAGCATGAGATGCTGGTGCTATGCTGGTGACCAGCATGGGATGCTGGTGTTATGCTGTGGTGACCATGGGATGCTGGTGCTGTGATGCTGGTATTATGCTGGTGACCAGCATGGGATGCTGGTGCTGTGATGCTGGTGACCAGCATAGGATGCTGCTGCTATGCTGGTGGCCAGCATACAAGCACCAGCATCCCATGCTGGTCACCAGCACCAAAACACAACATATGCTGGTCTTGCTGGGATTTGGGTGCTATGCTGGTGCTGGGATGCTGGTCACCAGTATGAGATGCTGCTGGGATGCTGGCGCTGGTAATATGCTAGTGACCAGCAATCCCATGCTGGTCACCAGCATCCCATGCTGGTCACCAGCACCAAAACACAACATATGCTGGTCTTGCTGGGATTTGGGTGCTATGCTGGTGACCAGCATGAAATGCTGGTGCTGGGATGCTGGTCACCAGTATGAAATGCTGCTGGGATGCTGGCGCTGGTATGCTAGTGACCAGCAATCCCATGCTGGTCACCAGCATCCCATGCTGGTCACCAGCACCAAAACACAACATATGCTGGTCTTGCTGGGATTTGGGTGCTATGCTGGTGACCAGCATGAATTGCTGGTGCTGGGATGCTGGTCACCAGTATGAGATGCTGCTGGGATGCTGGCGCTGGTATGCTAGTGACCAGCAATCCCATGCTGGTCACCAGCATCCCTTGCTGGTCACCAGCACCAAAACACAACATATGCTGGTCTTGCTGGGATTTGGGTGCTATGCTGGTGCTGGGATGCTGGTCACCAGTATGAGATGCTGCTGGGATGCTGGCGCTGGTAATATGCTAGTGACCAGCAATCCCATGCTGGTCACCAGCATCCCATGCTGGTCACCAGCACCAAAACACAACATATGCTGGTCTTGCTGGGATTTGGATGCTATGCTGGTGACCAGCATGAAATGCTGGTGCTGGGATGCTGGTCACCAGTATGAGATGCTGCTGGGATGCTGGCGCTGGTATGCTAGTGACCAGCAATCCCATGCTGGTCACCAGCACCAAAACACAACATATGCTGGTCTTGCTGGGATTTGGGTGCTATGCTGGTGCTGGGATGCTGGTCACCAGTATGAGATGCTGCTGGGATGCTGGCGCTGGTAATATGCTAGTGACCAGCAATCCCATGCTGGTCACCAGCATCCCATGCTGGTCACCAGCACCAAAACACAACATATGCTGGTCTTGCTGGAATTTGGGTGCTATGCTGGTGACCAGCATGAAATGCTGGTGCTGGGATGCTGGTCACCAGTATGAGATGCTGCTGGGATGCTGGCGCTGGGATGCTAGTGACCAGCAATCCCATGCTGGTCACCAGCACCAAAACACAACATATGCTGGTCTTGCTGGGATTTGGGTGCTATGCTGGTGACCAGCATGAAATGCTGGTGCTGGGATACTGGTCACCAGTATGAGATGCTGCTGGGATGCTGGCGCTGGTATGCTAGTGACCAGCAATCCCATGCTGGTCACCAGCACCAAAACACAACATATACTGGTCTTGCTGGGATTTGGGTGCTATGCTGATGACCAGCATGGAATGCTGGTGCTGGGATGCTGGTCACCAGCATGAGATGCAGCTGGGATGCTGGCGCTGATAGTGACCAGCAATACCATGCTGGTCACTGATAGCAAATTACATCTGGCCCAGATATGGCCCACATACCGCGCGGAATGACGGCGATGACTCAACCTGATTGTGGCTGTCATAACCCAGATAGCATACAGTTCTGGGCCACATCTGGGCCAACTAAGGCACATATGGCTCACTTCTGGCAATGGCAGGAGACATATGGGCCACATCTGGCCCATATGTTTCACACCAGGTGTAGTGTGAGTTGTGGCCTGCTGTATGTGGGCCAGATGTGGCCCGTGTGTGACACCCCGGGTGTAGTGTGAGTTGTGGCCTGCTGTATGTGGGCCAGATGTGGCCCGTGTGTGACACCCCGGGTGTAGTGTGAGTTCTGGCCTGCTGTATGTGGGCCAGATGTGGCCCGTGTGTGACACCCCGGGTGTAATGTGAGTTCTGGCCTGCTGTATGTGGGCAAGATGTGGCCCGTGTGTGACACCCCGGGTGTAGTGTGAGTTCTGGCCTGCTGTATGTGGGCCAGATGTGGCCCGTCTGTGACACCCCGTGTGTAGTGTGAGTTGTGGCCTACCGTATGTGGGCCAGATATGGCCCGTGTGTGACACACCGGGTGTAGTGTGAGTTGTGGCCTGCCATATGTGGGCCAGATGTGGCCCGTGTGTGACACACTGGGTGTAGTGTGAGTTGTGGCCTGCCATATGTGGCCCAGATGTGGCCCGTGTGTGACACAGCGGGTCTAGTGTGAGTTGTGGCCTGCTGTATGTGGGCCAGATGTGGCCCGTGTGTGACACATCGAGTGTAGTGCGAGTTGTGTATTTTTAGTTCCGGTTTAACTATAAATGAACGGAAGCCTTTGAAGTGGTTACAAATTATTAGAAATTGAAAATCAAAGTTAATTTGTCTTTCTAAGTCTGAACACTTTCGTTTTATGAAGTAGAAAATAGAAAATAAATATTGTAAATTAATGTAATGTGATGCAAGGATTTACATTTTTCCGACCGGCTACTTCTGCCTGTGGACTGCATACCTAATAAGTGGGAGGGGCTTGCTGCTCAAACATTGCACAGACTCTGATGTGAAGCAGCAGCAGTTCTGTGTTTCCTGTGTTTTATTAACATTATTGTCCCTCATCAGGCAGTGAGAGCGCTACACCTTCTCTGAAAATAATAACATTGCATGTTCTAAATAAGACTTTCTGAGATTGAAAATTATTCTTTAGGTTATTAAGAATAGGAATAAGCTATTGCTTATCCGGGAAAGTATATGTTTGTAACCTTATCACATATTAATTCAGTTTATTTCCTCAATAATGGATTTATTTTTACTTTAAGGCTGCTATGAATATAAATTTATATTATCTGTTATATGTAAATGTTCCAGCATGAGTAAAATTCTTTTTTTTTTCATATTACCTGGTATGTCTATAAATGTCTATAAATGCAATGAGTTTCATCATTTATTATGTTTTGATCCATTAATGTTTTGTTCAGTTTCTCCATTTGAATGAATTCAGACAGTGTCCTACCGCCACCTACTGGGTGGATTTAATTTGCTATTAGTACTACTTTTTAATGAACAATTTTACAAATGAATTCATAATCTAATAATGCTGAATTAAAGTGCTGTTTTCTTGGTGTTATTTTTTGCAATTCTACATTTTTACAATGATTTTGTTTGATTAAATGCCACATACAACATTGTTCTTTTTTATTTAATTTGAATATTAAATAGACAAATGTTTTGTTTATGAATAAAATAACTATATAAAAAAATGTCAGAGAACTGAGCAGTAGAATGTGAATAACATGAATGTGTTCGTGAATAAGCTGATCTTTGTAAACAACACAAAGTTTTATTTACTTATTCTACAGAACACAAAAAATAATAAAAAATAAATCTGACCAATTTTAATGCGCACACCTAACCCCGCTCCTAACCCGACCCCTCACTTTGATGTCACTAGCTCTATTTGAGTGCATTGTTTCTGACATTGCATGTCAAACTGTATGTCTCAGCTTGCATATCCAAGTCTGCAATCAGATACTAATGCTTCTGCAACACAGCCCTGAGGGTACAATCCTCAGTGCTGGGAAACACCACACATTATCTTAATCACAAACTACAGCAAATTTAGTTCATCCAAAATTCACTTATACTGCAAATTTTTGTACTATAGAAGAAACTGGAGGAAACCAACAGAAACAACATGAAACAAACTCAACATAGAAAGGCCCAAAAGTCTATCCTGGTTCTGTGTGTGTGCACCTGTAACAGCGTCAACAAATTTTATAGACAATATGCTATTAATAAGCATGTCAATTAGCAATTAGTTAATTGTAAATATATCTTAAAGTGTTATAGTTTTTATATAACAAGCTACTGAATATTAAAATTAACAGTAAATATTTTAGAATTACAGCATGTTACATAACAGAGCAAGGACATGTTCACAATGTGTCTGATAATATCTTTTCTTCTGGAGAAAGTCTTCGACTTAAATAAAAGCAGTTTTTAATTATTTTAAAAATATCATATATTTTTATATATTTTTTATATTTTTAATATATATATATATATATATATATATATATATATATATATATATATATATATATATTTATTTATTTATTTATTCATTTATTTAAAAACATAATCATAAAACTGCCCCCTGGTGGCGAATATGTGTTTCGCTTCATCATTGCATTACGGTGGAGTGGGCGGAGCCTCGTGAATGACGGTTATTTTTTTCAAACGAGGAAGTGAAGTCAAGTCCGCCATTTCATCTTCTTCTTTATATCGGGTAAGTTATTATTTTAAAATCATATTTGTGAGATATTTGTCGTCAGGTAATGTTTTTATTTTTTAGAAAAGCTCCTGTTTTGAATAGTGATAAAACTGTAACTTATATGTGGATAATATGGCTAAAAACGGCCAAGAATGATGGCAGCCGTTAGTTCAGTAACGTTAATCTGTTAAATTGATTGTGCTCGGGGTTTTAACAAATTCATTTAAGTTAAATTTGTCCTTTTATTCGCTCGTTATTCCCAAATAAATGATCAATAAGACATGTTATATGAAGAATAAGACATGTTATATGAAGAAAAGCGTCGAAACGGGAGCTTGAATTAATGAATCATATGGTGTCCGTTTTATACAGTTGTAATTGGTGCCGAGTTCTGCTTTTGTACTGGTTTTAGCTCAAACACTGAACGAACAGTCTCTTTTTGGTAAGTTAATGTGTTTTATCAAGTTTCAGCAAAAGTTTGCAGAGTTATGTGGTTCATGCTGGCCACTGTTGAGACTGGTCTGCATTAAAAAAAATTTAAAGCCAAAACGTTTGAAAAAAAAAAATCCACAGTTGAAACATGATGTGTTAAATGACTTATGAAGGAAATTAATTAGCTAAAAAAGAAGGCTAAGTGTGTTATTAAATATTAAACCTTGTTAAAAAATAAAATCAATTGTGTTAAATAAGCTTAAAAACCATATCTTATGTTTTATATTACATCAAAACAGCCTGGAAACTGATTTGCACCATTAATCTTGTACTTATGTATCAAGTCCAAACAAATGGTTTTGTGGCAAGTAAAAATAATATTTTTATAAATTGATTGTATTGTATTAATTTGTTACAGAAAAGCTGAAGGAAAGGACAACTCTCACATCAGTGCATTACTAATTGTTTGACTTCATCATCAAGCACACCAGGTACAATATTGTACATATTTTGAAACTTGTATATGTCAGACTGGTTGTTGGGTACTGAAATAATATATTTTATGTTTTATTTATTATTAAAATATTACAAGATTTATTGCTGCTATTTTATCACTGTGTGAGGTCATAGCTTATTTAAAATATCTATTATTAAAAAAATCAAATTTGAAAGAAAGTCTAAATGTTTCCACAAGGTAATTTATTGAATTGTTTTCTGAAAATGTAAAATTTGAAAGTATTGGTGAGCTGGAAAAACACAGTCTGTTGACGTAACTTTTATTTTTATCTTAACTTTTTATTTTATGTTAAAAGTAGATTAATTTACCTTGGATCGCATGTTTAAGTTATAATTTCAGAGTGAAAAATGTAAAAGAAAACCATTGAAAACAATGGCATAATGATTTTGCTTGATCACAAGAGGTACTTGATTTATTTTTAATGTAGTGAAACATATGTTTTTAAGACTAATGCTTGACACTTGAATTTTAAAGGGATAGTACACCCAAAAATAATGACATCTTTTATCCTCCACTTGTTTCAAAATATTTTTTATGTTCTGTTGAACAAACTCAGGCGGTGCGGTGGAACAGTGGATAGCTCTGTTGCCTCCCAGCAAAAATGTTGCTGGTTCGAGCCTCGGCTGGGTCAGTTGGCATTTCTGTGTGAAGTTTGTATGTTCTCACCGTGTTGGCGTGGGTTTCCTCCGGGTGCTCCAGTTTGCCCCACAAGACATGCGGTACAGGTGAATTGGGTAAGCTAAATTGTCCATAGTGAATGTGTGTAAATGAGAGTGTATGGGTTTTTCCCAGTGATGTGTTGCAGCTGGAAGAGCATCTGCTGCATAAAACATATGCTGGATAAGTTGGCTGTTCATTCCACTGTGGTGACCCCAGATTAATAAAGGGATAAAGCTGAAAAGAAAATGAATGAACACAAACCCAGTTTTTCCTACTATGTATATCAATAGTGGTATCAATTAGTGTTTAACAGATTCAAATTGCTTTGAAACAAGTAGAGGATGAATAAATGGTGGCAGAATAGTAAACTATATCTTTAAATGTTTTATTCTGTATGTTATGTGTATTCATATTTGTCTTGTCTTTTATCATATTGTCCTTCTAGTTCAGATTGTGATGGACCTGGAATGCGACACCAGTTACTCTTAAGTCAAGAACCAAATGAAGCACCAGAGTACAGATTATGGAGGTATCTGAAGTTGAACTAACTGGAAGCAGGGAACCATACTAATAAAGTTCCTTAAGGTAAAAGCACCTGCTTTATTTTGATAGGAAGTATTTTTATTTTTTAGGAGTTCTATTTTTTTATTCTTATTCTAATTTTATTTTATTCATATACTGAATGGAAGTCATTCAAATTTCACAACAAATGATTTTCAGATTGAATATAAACTATAATGACATTAATACATTATTTCTTTTGGTTATTATTTACATCTATATATGGGCAAGTATTTAATCAATGAAAATAATTTTAAACAACTTAACTAACCAAATTACTCTGTTGGACCCTAATATTTAAAATAGCAAAATCCTCAAACTAACACACACTCTTGTGAATGCATTCTCACATTCATACACTCAAAAACACACATTCATACAACAGTCTGTCTCAGTCTGACTCACACACAACATCCTCTCTCACAGGTTTTTCTAGCAAACCTCCACCACAAGCTTGTCCTTTTATGCTGCTTTTATTTCAAACATTTTAGAGCATGATATAGTCCAGGTTTTTATCACTAAGTATTTTTTTCCATTCAGCAGGTTCCTTGTAAAGATTAACCCAGGGAAGGATCGAAAGTGGAGAAGACCAGATCAAGAAAGACCACATCAAGATCTGCGGTCAGTTCAAAGGTACTTTCACTAATTACCAAGATTTCAGACAATGAATTGATGGAGAAAACTTTGAGTGTCAGATCTTCCTACAGTCTGCGCAGACATCTATAGTCATCTTAACGTGAGCGCTTTAATGGTCAAATAGGTGTAAAAACGCAGTGTTTAGTGAATATTCATATCAAGCATCGTTTGTGTAATAAACAAACGAGTTGAGAATCAAAATAGATGCGAAAGAGAAACTATTAAAGAGACAGCGTGCTATAATCCTTCTGCCGCCTGTTTTTATGATTATTAATCAAACAACAAATGGTGAACATGCCTCTGCTCTTGACTGAAGGACTTTTGTAGCTAAAGTGTTTCTTAAAGTGAAGATGCTTAAAGCACAGTTTGTTTTATATTTTTATTCTATTGTATTTATTTCTCTTTCCTTTGCAGGGTGTAAAATAACTGTATACAGTTGAAGTCAGAATTATTAGCCCTCCTGAATATTAGTAGCCCCCCCCCCCCCCCCCCCCCCCCCCAATTTCTGTTTAATGGAAAGAAGATTTCTGAACATAATAGCTTTAATAACTCTTTTCTAATAACTTATCTATTTTATCTTTGTCATGATGACAGCACATAATATTTGACTAGATATTTTGTCAAAATACATGCATTCAGATTCAAAGTGCGATTTAAAGGCTTAATTAGTCTTATTAGACAGGTCATTGTATAACAGTAGTTTCTTCTGCAGACAAATCAAAAATATATTACTTAAGGGGGCTAATATTATAGACTTGCTTGAAAAAACCTGCTTTTATTCTAGCCAAAATAAAAATAAAAAAAGCCTTTCTCCAGAAGAAAAAAATATAAGAGGAAAATTCTCAGGAGCGCTAATAATTTTGACTTTAACAGTAATCGTTTTGAATAATCGTGACTTCAATTATGACCAAAATAATCATGATTATGATTTTTCCCAAAATCGAGCAGCCCTACTGTTGTTACATTTATCAAAATAAACAATAAGGCTCCTAAAACACTGCTTTGAAAAATGTAGAAAATGTAAAAAAAAATATTTCAAATACCTCAAATGAAATAAGTCATTTGTTTTATTATTTTTAAAATATATTTTTTTGTAAAGTTATTTGTTTATAATTATGTAAAAAAAAAAAAATCCAAGTACTATAAAAGTTATTTAAGCAACAAATTTGCCAGATTGTAAAGGCAGACACAAAATGAGCAAACAAGAAAAACCGTGTAAAATGTGTAAATAAAAGGCTACATTTTAAATTTTTACATATTTTCATCATATACGTAAAACCTTCCTAAGCTTGAAAATAAATTTCCTTAAAATAAACTTCCTTTGTTAGTTGTCCTTAAACAATTAAACCATTTAAACAAGTTTACACTTAAAAAAGGTCCGTAATTAAAATCCGATTTTTTTTTCCAAATGTAACTAACTAAAATAGTACCATGTACTTTTACTCTGTATTAGTATTATTTATTAAAATTTGTTTTATTTTAGCAATATAATAGTATTTATTGTCCTTTAATTTAATGTAATTTAATTTTCAGTTCTCTTTCCATCTACGAAAACATTAAAAAAAAAAATTCACAAGCACATTTAAAATAGGTTTAATACCATGAAATATTATATTAATATTATTTTTTATTTTTTATAAATCGATAGGTAGTTCCAATGGAATGTTTTTATGTATTGCTGAGAATACATTTTAGGTGTTCAATACGTTGCTTGTCAGTCTTAAAAATAAAAATAGGTGCTTAAAAAAGTGCTTAAGTCCTTAATTTTAACAGCACCTTTTAATTGTTGTCTTCTCCTATTTTCAGGATTTTTTTGCATTGGACTGTTTTTTTTTTTTTGGCTTTGACCCTTGCTCGCCCCTGACCTCACTCTTGGACTGCCCTGTTGGATTTTCAGTTTATTTTATTTTATTTTTTTTGGGTTCTGGGTAGATGCTAATAAATATTTAGTTGTAATTATTTAAATAATATGTTTTTTGTTAAATATGCGATTTCTGTGTTTGTTCTGTCTACTCGTACTTGTTTATCTTGTTTCTGTAATTATCATTTGTTTATTTGACTCTTGCCTCGCCTCTGATCTTGTTTTTGGATTGCCCTTTATATATCTTTTTAATTATTGGTTCTGGTTATATGGTTATAAAATATTTGTTAATTTAATTAATATGCATTTCATAAAAAATATATATATTTTCTTTGTTTATTCTGTATCTATTTATCTAATTTGTATATACATTTGTGTTTGTATGTTCTTCTTATTCTGTATATACCTAATTTTAACTTTTATATATATTTATTTGCATTTAATTTGTGATAATTCTGTATGCATTTATTTATCTAATTCATATTTATTTGTATTACATTGATCAATCTGTTGTTGTTTTTTTTGTATGCATCTATTTATATAATTTATATAAATTATACATTTGTATTTATCAATTTATATGCTTCCTTTAAAGCATTTTTTTAAATAAAGCAATTTAAACTAAGCATTCCTTTTAATGTGATTTATATAGCTACCAAATGTAGATGTGAGCCACACCTAACCCAAAAGTCAGCCGCAACTGAACCAGATCTGGGCCAGATCTGTGAAATTGCATGGGCCGCATCTGGGCCAGATCTGAGAAACTGCATGGGCTGTATGTGGGCCAGATCTGAGAAAGTGCATGGGCCGCAGCTGGGCCAGATTTGAGAATGTGCATGGGCCGTAGCTGGGCCAGATCTAAGAAAATGTATGGGCCACATCTGGCCCAGATATGGACCATGCTTTTTCTGAGATATGGCCCAGATCTGGTTCAGTTGTGGCTGACTTTTGGATCCTTATGTCAGCCACAATCAGGTTGAGTCATCGCCGTCATTCCGCGCGGTATGTGGGCCAGAAGAAAATGGGGGATGTGGGCCATATCTGGGCCAGATGTAATTTGCTATCTGGGAAGGATCCAAAAGTCAGCCACAACTGAACCAGATCTGGGCCATATCTCAGAAAAAGCTTGGTCCATATCTGGGCCAGATGTGGCCCATACATTTTCTTAGATCTGGCCCAGCTGCGGCCCATGCAAATTCTGAAATCTGGCCCAGCTGCGGCCCATGCAGTTTCTCAGATCTGGCCCAGATGCGGCCCATGCAATTTCACAGATCTGGCCCAGATCTTGTTCAGTTGCGGCTGACTTTTGGGTTAGATGTGGCTGACATCTACATTTGGTAGCTATATAAATCACATTAAAAGGAATGCTTAGTTTAAATTGCTTTATTTAAAAAATTGCTTTAAAGAAAGCATATAAATTGATAAATACAAATATAGAATTTATATAAATTATATTAATAGATGCATACAAAAAAAACAACAACAGACTGATCAATGCAATACATATAAATATATGAATTAGATAAATAAATGCATACAGAATTATCACAAATTAAATGCAAATAAATAAATATAAAAGTTAAAATTAGGTAAGTGGATATACAGAATAAGAAGAACATACAAACACAAATGTATATACAAATTAGATAAATAGATACAGAAAAAAAAAACACAGAAAATATATATATATTTTTTTTATAAAATGCATATTAATTAAATTAACAAATGATAATTACAGAGACAAGATAAACAAGTACGAGTAGACAGAACAAACACAGAAATCGAATATTTAACAAAAACATATTATTTAAAAAATTACAACGAAAAAGAATTTGTCTGATGAAGAGCCGGCGGCTCGAAACGTTACACGCTCTGTGTCAGCCTTTTTAATTTAATAAATTTGTATTTTTGGAGCCTTGGTGTTGCCGCCTTTGATTTACATTAAATAATTACAATTAAATATTTATTAGCATCTACCCAGAACCAAATTTTTTTTTTTAAATTAAATAAACTGAAAATCCAACAGGGCAGTCCAAGAGTGAGGTCAGGGGCAAGCAAGGGTCAAAGCCAAAAAAAACAGTCCAATGCAAAACATCCTGAAAATCGGAGAAGACAACAATTAAAAGGTGCTGTTTGCAGAGTATATACAGGCACAACTCGATTAAAATTAAGGACTTTTAAGCACTTTTTTAAGCACCTATTTTTATTTTTAAGACTGACAAGCAACGTATTGAACACCTGAAATGTATTCTCAGCAATACATAAAAACATTCCATAGGAACTACCTATCGATTTATAAAAAATAAAAAATAATATTAATATAATATTTCATAGTATTAAACCTATTTTAAATGTGCTTGTGAAATTATTTTTTTTATGTTTTTGTAGATGGAAAGAGAACTGAAAATTAAATTACATTAAATTAAAGGACTAGAAATACTATTATATTGCTAAAATAAAACAGATTTTAGTAAATAATACTAATACAGAGTAAAAGTACATGGTACTATTTTAGCTAGTTACATTTGGAAAAAAAAATCGGATTTTCATTACGGACCTTTTTTAAGTGTAAACTTGTTTGAATGGTTTAATTGTTTAATTACAAGACTACATAAAAAGGAATTTGCACTAACAAAGGAAGTTTATTTCCTTTAAGGAAGTTTAGTATATTTTCAAGCTTAGGAAGGTTTTATACTTCCTTATAATATTATTAATATTATAAAATATTTGAAATATTTTTTTTACATTTTCTACATTTTTCAAAGCAGTGTTTTAAGAGCCTTATTGTTTATTTTGATAAATGTAACAACAGATTGCTTTGACCTGTAATGCCTGTACAATTTAGTTACGCTTTAAGACAGACTATGTATAAATCATACAAATACCTCATTCAAAAACTTTTCCAGCATACCAACCCCGTGACGTCAGACACAGCAATATTCCAAGTTGGGGGTGCCTTTGTGCTAAAAGCTCTAGTAAAACATGCCCTTTTCATCAAAATTGTTACATTAATCAAGTTTGGTTAATATATTTTTTATTAAATCAGAAAGCAATTTACGAAATAATGTAAACTCGATTGACTGCATCACTTCTACTACAAGACACTGGGAAGAATTTTTGCTAGGCGATGTAGGAAGATCTGACACTCAAAGTTTTCTCCATCAATTCATAGTCTGAAATCTTGGTAATTAGTGAAAGTACCTTTGAACTGACCGCAGATCTTGATGTAGTCTTTCTTGATCTGGTCTTCTCCACTTTCGATCCTTCCCTGGGTTCATCTTTACAAGGAAACTGCTGAATGGAAAAAAAAAATACTTAGTGATAAAAACCTGGACTATATCATGCTATAAAATGTTTGAAATAAAAGCAGCATAAAAGGACAAGCTAG